GGAGAGTAGTAGATTGGGCGACTTCAAGCGAATAGATCAATACATATCTAATCTTGTCAGCGCACTATCCTAATCTACTACTCTACTACTATCCTAATCTCCCCGTCAATACATATGTTTTTCATTGTCGCGTACTATCCTAATCTCCGGAGTCGCGAACTATGAACGCGGCCTAATGTAAAAATTAAGGAAAAACGTTCGACCTATTTATCACAGACATCAGATATCACAATCAAATCGGAATTCGTAAAAAGAATCAAATTTACAACACTCTGAGCAGCAGAGATAGATGATATGCGCTAATCGAGTTACCCGTTGAACGATAAAAACGATAAAAAACATTGGTTTTGCAGGCTGCCATCGCCGCGACATTTTTAATCGTTCATACTCGTTTTCGCAGCTCGTGAGCTAAAAGCGTCGGTCAAGAAGATGGCTGGCATTCCTGCTTGAAGAGATGCTACACTTATTTAATACCTAAACATTTTCGAGATGAGCTAACGCTTGGAGCAATTACACCTCATTTTTCGGCACAAAATATGAAACAAACGCGCGCATCAGCGTGCCGTGACGCCGTGACCTAAGATTCACACTCAGTTTATGCAGGGCCAGTTCCATACGCCTTAAGTGCTCATATACAAATCGTCAACAGAGGCCATAGTTGATGGAGAGATGGTCGTAAGTGCAGGGCAGGATCACCAATCAGCACACTGTATCCTCGCCGGTTACAAATTACAAATTACAAATGACAGGGATTAAATAAGGGATGGAGAAATATGGTCGTACACCTCTCATAGAATGCAAGGAGGAAAGAAAATTGACCCGCTTACGAGCGATCGCAACGCTCCTAAATTGGTAAGAAGACAGTGGTTGTCAAAAAATAATATTAAATATTGGCAACAGATTAATGGGAAGGTGGCTTCCTTCAACGGAATGCATTGACTACATGCGTTTTGAAACGATTCCATCCTCCAAATCTTTCAAACAAATTCTCTGAGAAAGCGCATAGCTGGTCACCACTATGGTTGCAAAGTCAAAAATTCGGTCCCCTCACGGACAATTTCTCTAGGAACGGCACAACGATTCCAAACATTAATTTGACATTCAGTATGATCTAATATCTCTTACGATTGGATGATGTACTCAACATTCTAGGGCACCTTTTGTTGCAACCCTATTCGAAGAAAAAACCGCGGATGAGGTACAATAACAACATCAAAGGAGCATTGTCCTCGAACAAACAGCTGATCATTGATTTCGTTGAGCTTTCCAAACCATTGGGTGACTGGGATTTGAAGAAATGCACTT